TTGTAATCGAGTTACTCGAGTTACTCGAGGAATCGTTGCAGCCCTAGTAACTTCCTTATGAAACTTTGATAATGTTCATCTTTAGAGAAAGAATGACATATATACATGGCATGATGTTATCTTGGACCAGATGCACATCTCACTATAGTTTTGAGAGAATGTAGATTGTAAATATGTTAGCATCATCTATGCATGCTCAGACGGTTTTTGGTTATAGAAAAAAACATCCTAAAAAATGTAAATAATCCTGATGATTCGAGCCATCAGTCAAGAAGAGCCCAAGTCAGCTTGCATTTTGTCAGTCAAATCTCCGTCATCACCTTTGTTTTGTAGCTGCCCTGTCGGCACGGCAGGCGGTACACTTTACACTCTCAAAATGACCATAAACCACAAAACTAACTGTGATGGAAGCGGAGAAGGCAGGTTGAAACATGAGACTTCTGTAGCCGCGCTTCCACCGCAGGAACTGCTGAAACAGGAGTGGAGTGTGGCTGAAAGAATAGTTGAAACATTCTGAGTCGGTTACAGCCCTAAAAAATGATAACATGTAAGCTAGGAAAAAAGACAGCTGTAATTTATGCAGCTTTCACTCTCACTGATTTGAAGTAGCGGAGCTAAGTTGGGGAAAAGTTGATCCAGTTTTCTTGTCTGATCAAACCACTCCCACACCACACAGTCCTGATGAAGCTTGAACTTTACTTGAAGTGTTAAACTCTCAATAAGTAATATTTCAGTTCCTAAGTAACTAGCATTCAACCAGAAATAGACCATTAAAAACTCTTTCTCTTGTAGATGTGGCTTCCTGTCCTGCAGGAGCCTTGGTGGGCTCTGTGACCACTCAGATCTCCACAATCCACCTCACCAGGCAGGGACAGCAAGCCTCCATGTCCCCTTCATCTCCATTCCCTTCCTCTCCCTGGCCGACAGAGGGGTGTCCTGCTGGAGAGACTCAGCTGTCTGGGTGAGAAACGGCTCATGTCTTTTTAGCGATGGTTAAGGCGACCAGAGTGGGTTGTTGGTATTTCAGTGGCGGTTCAACTGAACAAAGATCTGCTCGCAGACACACAGATGGGGAGACTGGAGTGCTGTGACCCAGTGTTTTATTCAGAATGTTTGAATGGGTGGGCAGAGGAGTTGATAACGATTGGTTTAACTCGTGCCTTTTTGTGTTTCCAATAGAATTTTAGTTAGGATAGAATCTATAGCGTTAAACCAGTGTGATGTTGGTTGGACTGGGAATAAGTTATTTTTCTTTGTCTTTTCTAGCCGATTAGCGAGGTTTTTACCAGTTTTTTCATTGTGTTCTTAATAATTCATTCTGATTGTTTGCATGAGGAATTGGGTCTGCTGATGTATGATATCTTCCACTCTCTGGAGCGGAGACTGTTTGTCTGCTAGAAGTGAGGTGTTGAACCGCCACCCACTCGAGGGGATTGGGGCGGTTTCATTGACTCGATTAAAGCTGACTGGACCATGGTCGGAGATGATTATTAGATGAATTTCACATTTGTCAATTTGAGATGTAATAGAATTACTAGCTGGGAAGGAGTCGACATTTGTGGGGGGGTGAGTAATATGCCCGTCTCATCCACGTCTCAGCTGCGTCTGCAGCGGCGCTTCACTAGATGGTCGAGGTCTTTTATCTTCCAGCAAAGGAAGTGAAAGGAGCTATTGGTATCGGTGTGAACAAGGTGATGGAGGAGTCCTTCACTGTACAGTTTGTATACAACCAGGCTGGCCTGTTCACCCTTTTGTCTGTGTATTTTCAAGATAGGGTACAGTACATTTCATCTTTCAGTTATTTACTTTTCGGAATTTGTCGCTCTTGCTTTTCACCAGATCTTTTTGCTGAATTTTTTTTAAACTATGCGATGATGGGCGGGCTCTAAGTCAGTGTATGTGGTAGAAAGTTACTTTGTTTACTGTGACGGTAGTTTCAGAGCAGAGCGCATGAAGTCCCTGAGAAGTGTGTCGATGTTGCCGTTGTGTTCTTAGGGATTCCGGAAAATATGAGATTGTCTCTTCTGCTATCTTTCTGGAGATCATCTATTTTTCAGTGGTTCAGTTCCAACTAGGGTCTCCAAAGCTTCATGAAGGCTCACAAGGCCTTCTTGATTTTAAGGTGTGCTAGAAAACTTTAAAAATATACACAGTAGGCCTATATCTCAGCATTTGGTTCACTTCACATTTCATTAAATGTAAAGTTAGATACATTGTCTAAGAACAATGGCCAAGTGTCAAGAACAAGAAAACCTATTAATTCTGTGTGATTATTAGAAGTGATAAAAAATACATAATACAGATAAGACAAATGAGATAAACGTATAAAAAGTCTCCTGAACAAGAAATACTCTGCTCAAAATGTGTCACTAGTTTTAAACAAACGTCTTGCAGTTACTGAGTTCACTGTTTGGGCTAATTGTACAGTGTTGAATACGATATAACATGAAAGATCCATCAGATATGTCATTTAATCAGGGGTTGTCAGTTCACTCAATGATAGAAGGGGTCCCTTAAGGGAAAAGGTTGGGAACCACTGCTCTGTTTGTTGGTGTGTGACTTCAAGGCTCAATTTGAGGTTTTTTTCCTGATGTAGCGTGCTAGGAACGTCCAGTTTTGTTTTTATGGATTCAAGAACACTGACCTTTATGTCAGTGGTATGTACATACCTTTTCCCTTTTGCCGGGTTGGGTGTCCGGTAGTCCGGGTTGTTGTTGACCTCTCCCATTGAGGTGTGGCAGCAGTAATCATCGATGAATTTTCACTTATGGTGTTTTACTGTGCTATCTTGATGTAAGGTCCTGAAGTAATCCAATTCTTTTGAAGTATTTTGTGAAGAAAGCAAGCCGCCACGTTAGATCCAAATCTCACCGTCATGGTCTCCTAATGATTGATTGCAAGTTTTGATTGCTTCTCAATCTTCTGTTTTTGTTTTTACTTTTCCAATTCTGACTGTTTGGCCTCGTATCAATTGTTTCCAGACAGGAGTGTGTTATGCAGGTGGATGGAGTTGAGGAGGAGCTGCCTGATGAGCTGGAAAATGCCTGTAGTGATGATGGTAAGATGTTCAAACACGCTCACACGCACACTCAGACTACTATTTAGTTAGCTGGCAGTTTGCTCTACTGATGTTGTAAAACCGCTGATTTTAGTTGTCTTCTGTTGTCTTCAGATGACTCCGACTGTTCATCCTCGTCCACAGCAACGGCATCCATCACTCTCCTTTCTGGGTAAGACTGTATAACCACACAAGCACCCTTAATTCATTTATTCATGTGACAAGAATCTAAAAACACTGACTGACGCAAACTGTGTAGAGGACTGTTGCTCTCTGTTGTTTCTAACGAGCTGTCCCAAGTCCATTTATGAGCCTTTAAGAGTGTTTTCCTCGGCTTGACCAACTTACAGTTCAGAAGGCCTATGTCCTTTCCTTGGACTGCCCCAACATCCAAGCCTGGCTCTAATTGGTCTCCTAAAATGGCATTAAACGTATATCTACCAGATCCTGTGGACTTATTCTCCCTCTCTTCCATTCTCTCTCACTGCATTGTTAAAAGAGGCTGAAAGCAGCAGAGCATGGTGGAAAGGTCTGCTGCATTGTGTCATCACATTGTTCTCCACTGTGATGGCCTCAACAGTAGAACTCCCTACCAAAGACTCGGAGCTGATTCTTTGCTAAAACCGCCTGGATAGGGACCGCTATTGTCACCTTTTTTTTTTTTCTTCTTTTTTTTCTTTTTCCTCACAACCAGCTGATTTGCTGTTTACATACACCCCGCCCACCCTTTCCTGAAAGCAACAGCTTCTGTATGTATAGTATAGTGTTAAGTTAGCTTAGTCTAGCTGTGATGCTGATGTATACCTGTCTGTGGTGGAGGGATTTAATTTAAGGAAAAATTCTTTGGATTGTACCATCTCCTGTTCCTTCATCCATCTGCTTTTTTATCTTTCCTTCCTATATGACTGTCATGTGAGTTTTTTTAGTTTTTCATTATTCTGTGTTTATCTGGTGTGATCAAATGTGTTTATGTAGGAAAAAGGACTTTGCTAATGTTGGACTTACTTAGTATTGTGTGAACTCGATCAAACAGTCTCTCTCTTGAAGGCTTGCTTCATTCGTCTCAACCCTGTGTCAGAATGTACTTGCAGTCTCCGTGTGATGTCTCTAACCTTAAATCCACGGGGTCGTGTTACCGGCGCATAGTGCAAACGATCAGCCGCGCAGGCTGCAGTCGACTTGTGTTACAAACCAGAGAGGTTTCTGGATGCCAGCTTCCGTTAGTTAGAAGTCAGTGAAGGTAACTCTAGCTGCATTACTTTTTAATTTTGTTGTGAGACTGCAATTTGCTTGTTTAATTGTAACAAGCCAAGCAGACCTGCGGTGCTGGCGGCAGGGCAGGGACCACACAGTCTTCAGTAGAACACTTGAACAACCATTGTAGATGGAGTTTACAGGTTTGCAACACATAGTGTGTAGTTATTAATTAGCTCTATAGACACACAGTCAAATATCACATCTTCACTTTCTAAAATTCTTGTGGTTGATGTATTTTTTTGATCTTCTGTTAGATGAGACGAGTAAAAATGATTGGCCAAATGTTGGCCATATTGGCTGTCTTTAGAGAGACTGTTTTGGTCAACAATGGGAATTTAAGTCTAAATCACAGTTCTGACCATCACAGAGATGAACAGCTGTTATATTGCATATATGCGAGAGCCTGCATCAAGGAAATCTGCTGATCCATCAGAATCATATGTATCCATATGAATCGTATATGTCTTTATCAATGCCAGCAAGTTTGCAGTTGCCCAATGATGTAAAAGTCGAGAGGAAGAAACATTCCAAAGCATGTAGCTATTTACTTTATTATTTATTATTATTACATTTATTTATTGATCATCCCGAGTCACAAATATAACAATAATCGAAATACAATACAACACCATACATTTCGTGTTTTTTATCGCTCCTGAAAGGAGTCTTCCTGTGACTAAAACTTTGTCGACTAAGACTCTTCTCACCGACCAACAGTTAGGTCGACTTTTAGGGGGCAGCTCTAATTTGGATTAATCATTCATGTGTTTATGTCCACTCTCTGTGTCTCTCTCTCAGCATTGAGGAGCCGATGTCATTGGGGGCGGAAGATGACCGAGAGGAGAAACCAGCTTTGGTTCCCAGTTTGTTTCCCCTCATCCCTCCGACTCTCTACTTCAGCACCGCCAATGAGAAAGGTCGGGACACGCACGTCTGTTGCTTATTTATACTTAATAGGCTTTTTAACATATTCAGTGTTCTTCTCATTGTTCTTCCAGCTCTTTGGTTGTTTTAACTGCGTTCTGATGCAGGATGAAGCGGTTTATCAGCGAGTGAAGGCTCTGTGTTAAGGTCTTTAAAGTTTAGATCTTAAATAATAATTTAAAATAAGAAGAATTAAAGTATAATGCTGAGTTATAGGCCTACTGTGTATATTTTACTGTGTTAGAGGATGAGAGCAACGGTAACGGTAGACGGCATTGCCATCCAAAGTTAAAATCCTTTATGCCATCCTCTGCAATGGAATTTAAAAGCAGATATTACATAACTCCCTCACACAAGGGGGGTAAATGGGCAGTCTGGACAACAAGATGCTAATTTAATTTAATGTAATGGACCGTCTCTGCATCTTGTCCATCATGACGATGTCAAACTGCACAGAGATGCTGCTCAGTTTTCAGGGATTGTGATTAACTTGTTTGTCTATAAACTGTTTCACACTTTTGCTTTATGCACTGATCCACTGGTTAATGCTTCATCTCCAATTCCTTTAAGAGGGTTAGGGTTAAGCCAGTTTAACTAAGATTGCCACTTTTATTTTATTATTAATAATTATTTTAGTGAACAGTTTATATCTTATACCAACATATTGGTTATTTTCTGTAAGTGCTGTTTCAATATTTGCGTTATGCCTGCAGTCTATGTGGGCAGAATGTGTTTTACTTTAATACGGTTTTGTAAAATACTTTGTGTGTTCTGCAGTGGAGCTGCTGCCCGCAGAACAAAGACGACTGTTAAAGTGGAAGATGAGCGCCGTCACGCCAAATGTGGTCAAACACACCATTGCCAGGTCACACTTCAAAGTTACCAAGAGTAAGTCATCACATGTGTCTTAAGATACATTTTCATTTGCGACACTTAATTCAGAAATCATAGACAGACGTTATATACTGCTGAACATCAAACTGAATCATTGAGAAGGAGCATTGAGCAGCTACACAGTGCTCAGTGTTTACAGGTGTCAACATTTGAATGTTGCAAATATAGATCCTTAACCTATTGACCCTGTTTATTTAGAATTCTTTTTGCAATTCATATTAAATCAGTTGTCTACAACTCAAGTGTCTCAACAGTCACTGACATCATGCATAATATCACTTTACTTTAAACCGCTGTGGTTGCATGTTTAGGGTTCCCACGTCCTGGAAATCCTGGAAATTGATTAAAAATGCCCAAATATCCTGGAAATGATCCATGTCGACTTTCATTGTACTTTCTCCCCTCACTCAGATGGCCTACATAAACATAAACCTAGGTGTGTATTCTGTCTGAAACGGCCTGTTTGTAGGATGAGCTGCTCAAAGTGAGTTTACCAGATGCAAAGCTGAACGGAAAAATGCTCCCGTTTTATTTCAGCTCCCATCTCACTGACTAAATCTAGCTCTTCTAAGTCTATTTTTTTGTTGTTGTTGTGGTTGATAAATACATGCACAGCAATGAATTTTCTGTAAAACGAAGTAAGTTGTACTTGATTTGAACTGTTGTGTATTGGGCTTTGTCCAAATGAATGTTACGGATGGAGAACTGCAGTAAACTGTAGTCAGTTTGCCGGGGACTGCACTAGAAGAATCAGCTCCTGTGAGAACGGCCACGAAAACGAGCTAAAAGGCAGTGTCCCATACATGCTAACCAACAACATCTTATGAACCTGAGACACTTCATCATGAACTCTTCATCATTTAAAATGAGTTAAATGTTTAAATACTACTTACTGGACAATTATATGACCAGTTATAGCAAGAGTGGGAACCCTGAGATTCCTTGTCAAAATGTATCCAAATGATTTTGGACAACAAAAAATATTTTTGGAAGGTAATGTTTTGTAGTTTACTCCTGGTACACACTTGTAAGAGAAAACTGTGGAAATTGCCCTGGGTGATCAAAATCTGTTTGTCGTCCCATTGTTGATGTAGAAAGCCATGACTGGTTGGGCTGCTGGGGACACCACATGAAGTCTCCTGCCTTCAAGTCCCTCGGAGAGCACCAGAAGGTGAGAAACTGTCGATACACTAGCAGGAAGGTGAAATGTATCCAATGACCTTTCGGTTCCGCTGTCCAGAATTCCACTTCATTGTTTGTGTTTCTTCTCTCCTAGTTGAACCACTTCCCGGGAACGTTTCAGATTGGCAGAAAGGACCGGCTCTGGAGGAATCTGTCTAAGATGCAGGTTCGCTTTGGCAAACAAGAGTTCAGCTTTTTCCCCCGCACCTTCGTCCTCCCTCAGGACATTAAGCTGCTGCGCAAGGCCTGGGAGGACAGTGGCTCCAGGCAGAAATGGATCATCAAACCTGTACGTTATGCTAGTGGATACTTAGATAATCAGTTGACTTGGAACTGTACCAAAGAAACATCCATCACAAAACTTGGGGAAAACAGACTAAATAGGATATTTTGGATTTTGTGGATGCTAGTAAACATCAGTGTTAATCATTACTGATTACAGATCTATTCATTAATATTTCAGTTTTGTCTTGTGTGTTTCATTTGCTGGATAACTGGTTGATGACTGATGACTGGTTTTAATTGATTTAAAAGGTGAAACAAGTTACTTATGTAAAGTTTCCAAGTAATCTAGATTATCATGCTTCAATAAAAATATGTTTTTGTTTTGATGAGTTAACTTTATTTTACATTCTCTCTTCCTCCTCTCATCTCTAATAGCCTGCATCAGCCAGAGGAATAGGTATCCAGGTCATCCACAGATGGAGCCAGTTGCCCCGCAAGAGACCGCTGCTGGTCCAGAAGTAAGTAGGCCGGAGACCATCTTCCAACAACCTGACACTACACAATATAGTCGTCATTTGGATAAAACATTTGTATTCTGGTTTTGCAGGTACCTTCACAAGCCCTACCTCATCGGCGGTAACAAGTTTGACCTGAGGATCTACGTCTATGTGACATCCTACGACCCGCTCAGAATTTACATCTTCTCTGATGGACTGGTTCGATTCGCCAGCTGCAAGTCAGTTTTCACCACATCCACCGCAGTCGCAAAGCCAAAACAATCTGTACACTTTAAATAATATGTCAGAGACTGGGAAAAAGCTGATAACTGAGTTAATATGTGATTTATTTGTCCTGTTTAGATATTCGTCTTCCATGAAGACTCTGGGTAACAAGTTCATGCACCTGACCAACTACAGCGTCAACAAGAAAAACTCAGAATACCAGGATAACAGCGATGACAAGGCCTGCCAGGGACACAAATGGTAAGAGAATGCGAAAAGAAGCAGGGGGTGAAATGGGCTGGAGTGGCAGGAAGTAATGTGTGTGAGAGGTGGAAAGGGAGGGTTAAGGGCAAAGCCTGACTGAATGCAGACCAACACTTGGTACAAGAAGACATTAAAACTAGGAGTGAAAGACGAATTAAGGAATGAATGAATAATTGTTGGGTTGTGTTAATTTGGCTCCTTCAGAGAGTTTCAGTAAACCAGTAACTATAACTCTGTCTCCAGAGCAGGTTCTTCTCCCTCAGATGTTTGTAAAAGTGAAACTCAGATGCAGGGTGTCAGAGCCTGTGTTCCCCAACTCCAACACAATGTGTGTTTGTGTATGTGTGTGTTTCAGGGCTTTGAAGGCCTTGTGGCAGTATCTTGGTTCCAGGGGAGTCAACACCACTCTGATCTGGGAGAAGATTAAAGACATAGTGATCAAAACCGTCATTGCGTAAGTTTGCCCATTCAGTCACTCAGCGGCTGCAGGGAAGCTCTTACTGTTTTTCACAATTTATATTGTTCTGTTCGTATTATTTCTTATGTAGTCATTATTTTATGAAAGCTTTAGCAGAGCAAGCTTTTTTTTTCTTTTTTCTTCAAAGCTGGTTTATTTCTACATTACCTTTTACATTATTACTAGCAATCTTACTGTTTTCATCATTATCGTTGAAAAATGTTCCTCAGTCTTAAAGGACCTGTGTGTAGGATTTAGTGGGGAAGTTGCAGATTGCAACCATTTGAATACATTTTGCCATCCAAGCATGTAGGAGAAGCTACAGTGCCTGCAAAACTTGCAAAAAGCATGAAAGGCCCTATCTAGGAGCCAGGGTCCACTCTGGGCTACTGAGGATCCACTCCCTCTTTAGATTGGTAGAGGTATGGAATCTCAGAAATGTGTGCAACCTGCTGGAGCTGTAGCAGAGGATGAGAAGGAAGACACTCATTATTGAACTAATAATGATGATGAAATGAGTTGTAATCTCCCTCCTGTGTGTTGGTTATCAGCTCCGAACCGTACGTTAACAGTCTGCTGAAGATGAACGTTCGGACACCTTACAGCTGCCACGAGCTGTTCGGCTTTGACATCATGCTGGACGAGAACCTCAAACCCTGGATCCTGGAGGTCAACATATCGCCAAGGTAACACCTGCACACACATACACATACACACACACACACACACACACACATTGATGTGGAAATGAGAGGAAGGAAGAAAGTGAGAAAATAAATATTAGG